ATCTTATCTTCGGTCTAGGGATGGCGCTAAAAGCAGCTTCAATTTCCAGCGCCCTGACCAGTGCTTCGCTGCTGGTAGAAAATCGGGATATTTGCAGCGCCCTCTGTAATTCGTTGTCCCTCAGTCCGCTGATAAAGCACTGAGCAGCGAGTTCCTCCCTAAATCCTTCCGGTGCCTCAGGATACGCTAGGTGTACCAGCCGACGTAAGTCTGCTTCAAATTCCTGCAGACTCTCTCCGACCTCTGCAGGCGTGTCTTGATCTGGGCCTGGTAAAGTTGGCGTCGATGTTGGTCGCCATATCTTCTGTCCAGTGCAGCGACCAAAGTTTGGTATTCCTGCTGTTGGGCTGCAGGAATAGTTTGCAACAGTTCCAGGGCAGGGCCACGCAGCGCGATGACAAGTGCTGCTGCTTTCTCTTGGTCAGTCCATCCATTGGCAGCAGCCGCTGCTTCAAACTGGCGTTGGTACATCGTCCAGGTGGTTTGTCCATCGTAGGTCGGGGCCTTGAGGTTCGCAGTTCCATGAACGCCAGGTGTCCTTACTTGTACCTTGGTCTTCTGTAGGTCCATCTCTAATTTTTCCATTTTCTGCTGAAGGCGTTCCTCCAGATCTTCTACGGCTTCTTGGAAGTGATTCTGCTGTTCCTGGCAACGTACTTCCAACATTGCTTGTTGCTCCTTTTTCATATCCTCGAAGTTTTTGTGAAGTCGAATTTCCTGATTTTCTAAAATTTTCTGAAGCCGGTCCTGTTCTTCTTGCTTTTCTCTCTGGCGTCGCTCCTCCAAACGAATTTCCAAATTATCCAACATTTTCTCAAGCCGGTCCTGTTCTTCTTGTCTATCTTGTTGTCGTTGAATTTTCAAATCTTCGAAAATGTTCTCAAGCCGGTCCTGTTCTTCTTCTTTGTCTTGTTGTCGTTGAATTTTCATATCTTCTAAAAATTTTCAAGCCGGTCCTGTTCTTCTTCTTTGTCTTGTTGTCGTTGAATTTTCAAATCTTCGAATATTTTGTCTTGATTTTCCAGAATTTTCAGTAGGCGGTCTTGTTCTTCTGCTTTCTCTTTTCGCAGCTTCTCTTGTTCTTCTGCCTTTCTCTTCTTCATATTCTCCATAAAATCGCCTAATAGTTTGCTTACTTCCTCCATTTTCTTCTTCGCTTGTTCCCTTGTACCAACCATAAAAATACTCTAATCCGGTCCAAAATCTTCCAATCCACTTAATTTTCTTCTTAAAATCCTCTTGAATCGCACTTCCGACACCAATTGTTACGGATTCCGTGGGTCCACTATTTAAACTCACGATAAAATACTTAACGAATTTATTTGTTTCACTCTGTACACACAACTTATACTATTTACAACACAACTTATGCAACTACTATTACTCTAACGGTATTTCGCGGTATTTTCAAACTTCAGACTATCTTCAGACTGGACTTCAAACTTTTAAACTTCAAACTTTTAAACTTCAAACTTATCCAACTGTCAAAGCGCGGGCCTTATATACCCCCTGGCGGTTGTTTCTAGATTTTTCTAAAGAATTCTATAATTTTCTTTACTTTCTGGCGAATGCGCCAGGTTCCTCAATGCACTTTGCGATTTTAGCAGTATGCAGTTATGCAACCAGTAATACACCTTGACAATATGAATAAAATAAACATAATTGTCCAGTTTTTTATTTTTAAATTTATTAAAGATATTTTCAATAGAATTCTCTTGATTTATAACTCGTACGCACTTTTCTTGCTCTTCCGAACACTTGGGCTGCCTCGTATGACTATCCTTTCCACCAGGAACACAACAAAGATGAGGCATAGCACCAAAAACACACTCCACTTAAGCTTTATTGATGAATTGTTAGAGTCTTAAAAAACACACACAAAATCACGATGAGTAAAAAATGTATAGGCACTTTTAGGTTAAATCACTTACACAACGTGTAATTTTTCAATTTTTCTATTTTTTTATGCGAAACCGAGAGTGACCATATATCTGGTAGTAGTTTATGTCACTTAAACACCAAAATAATTAGTTTTTTGCACTACAATAATAAATAATACCAAAAATCATAGAGTTAAAACCAAAAATCAACCGACAAAATATGAAACGGAATCTAACCCAATATCTAAGTATGTACAGCTGATGAAGTAAACAAAAGTCCGCCCCAAGGCTGATCTTTTAAAGAACGGCAGTGAGAGTACGTCACAGGATTTGTTACCACGCGGTTGCCATGGCTTTTACGCCTTTCCTATTCGCTTGCTTTATCCCCAACTTCACGGTCTCTTCTGAAAAGAGTAGGAATATTGAATACTATTGAAATATCCAGTGGCGGTGTCACTTTTTTGATCATTATTACTTTATTTCATTATTTTATACTGGTTATCCTAAACTTTATTCCTATATTTTTCGTATATTTGATAGTTAAGTTGTGTTTTATTGTTTTGTTATCTTGTTATAATGTTTTTCGTTCGTAGTTTTTAATTAATAATATCAAGGTTGATCGTATATTTGTGTTTTAAAATGAATAAATTTGTTAAGGGTAAGACGCTACATAGTCAGATAAGAGAAATAATAGCTAATTTATATAGGTAAGTTAATAATAACGTGGATGAAATCTCATTTGGTTTATTTCCTTGTGTTCATAATAGGGTTTTGCGATGAAGAAGCTACAGAGAGTTCGCTTAAGTTGCCGCTTAAACGTAAACTTGAGCGGATATTTCTTTATACCGGAGTTAGCGTATCGGCTATAAAAAAAATCACACAGAAGATAAAAAACGGCTGAAAACTAACCCCGATAAAATGATATCCAGCTCTGGAAAGAAACGACCACTTGAGACTGCTGTCGAAAAGCTCGACGACTTTTTCGAAGTGGTCAGGAATTTGATAAATAGATTTTATCTCGAATTCAAACTCGTCCCCACAATTAGAAAGCTTTTGCAAAAATTGCAGGAAGAATAGAATTTTCCTTTTGCAGGGAAACGCTTAGGGGGTTATTAAAATCAAATGAATTTTTTTGGCGTAAATGTCAAAATAACAGATAAATATTAATGGAGCGGTTCATTATATTGCAGAGAGAGATATAAATATATACGCAAAATTCGAAAATATAGCCAAGTATTATCTATTTAGATGAAACATATGGGTAGACAATGACCTAACCTTTAAAAACTGCTGGCGGAGCGATACCATATCTGGTGTAATAGGCAATATTGGATCTACTGGTGAGTAAAATTATGTTTTGTTTGCGCTTCCAAAGTTAACTATTTTCAAGATTTTTTTGCTGGAAATAGTTATATCTAAAATTATGTATTATAGAAAAAATATAGTTAGTACAGATATATAACTAAATATACCTCAAGACTCAGTCTTGATCATCTGCTGATGGCAGACATGGTTAGCGAAACGTGCGTCCAGTGTAAAATTAAAAGTGTTTTGGTGTATTGTACTGATTTAGTGTTTTATTTTGCTGTGTAACACCAAAGGTTCCAACCCCCAGCTGTAATTATTTCTTCTATTATATTAACAACACAATAATAAAATGAATCAAAATATTTAAGGGAGCTTTAATAAAAGCGTTTAGTGTTTATCTGCTAACTCAACAGTAACGATTCAAACAGCATAAAGTTTTTTGAAAAAAAATATTAATCTGGGTATTATATTTATGATACACATTATTTTCATATAACACCGTACGCCCATGCCTATTTTATGAATGAAATTGGGCGTGTTTTGTTTACAACTGCGTTCCCCTGCCGATACCCCGTAGCTACAGATCCGTTGGTCACACTATAAATATTATAATCATCAGAATGTTTTATATAAGCTGTAAAATTTTTCTTGACAATATGGCGAAGGAAAATAAAAAAAATTATACGCATAAATTTTTGCGATGGGTAAACTGTTACCAAAGAATATTTTAATACCAAAGAATATTTAAAATTATAATATTCTTTGCTGTTACCTCTGATAAAACCTACATATATGAAAAAAGCCAAACAAAACTAGTGAAGTTAATATTTCATTAAAAATATGCATGAAAATATATTTAGTTTTTATGCTTATAAACTATACTACAGCATATTTAAAGAGTTTGTCAATTTAACAACCCTTTGTGTACCAGGTACATAAACATACAATAAATTTAGGTTTACAAAATGAAAATTGTTTGTTGAATTTTATAAAGGTTGATCATTAAACAATATTTAATTATGTTTGTTTAAAAGGTGGGACAAAACATGGGATAAAACTCCGATTTTGTCTATAAACAGGCGCATCTCTGATGGTTCCAAATATGCATAGATAAAAGACTTAAAAGAAAAAAAGAAATAAATTTAGCGATACAATGTAAGAACACATTGTGTGCTTTTAATTAGGTTGAACACATTATAAACGATAAATCAACTTAATAAAAGCATACAAAGTGTTCTTATATGTCAGACATTAATTAAAAAAAAATATTAAAATGAAAATGCCCGTCAAAATTTTTGGTCACGAAATTGTTTTTAGTCGCGACCGTTGTACGCGATCTGGCGCTGCCATAGCGGTTGCTAAATGAGATATTATCAAAAATAGCATTTCTAAAGGATACTTTTTACCACTTACATTTCAATTCTAACCCTGTGTTCGATAGACGTAACAAACTCAACAAAGAGGGGTCGCTACCAACATTAATGACCTATTTATTTAAAACATACCTTGTCTACTTGTATCTCAAGAGTGCAGAGTGCAATCTGCAGAGTTTTCCCATAAATCCATATGAAATTCGAATTACTAACACTTTTGTAAATTATTATAACAGAAATTTAATAGAATAATAAGTATAATTAGATAACATATACAAGTAGGTATATGTAATAAATGTAAGTGGTTTTCAATATTCCAGATTGATTATCAAACTGATAGTTTATTAACAAAGACTTTCATATTATATGAATATAACACAATATTGCATAAACTTTAAAGGATTTCTATTATAACTTCATTACAAATATTAACACTTACTTTACAATTGTGTAATTTCCTTCAGGTATGGTGATATCAATATACGAATAATCATCTGTGACTCTTACAACTGACCCATCAATTTGTTGAATTTGAATTTTAAACTTTTCAACTTCTTCAGGATTCTTCTTAATACCTCCTTTTAAATAAATGTTATTTAGAAAATTGAAACACTGACTTTTACTTTACACCTACCTTTAGGGATAAACCTTACAATATTGTGGGCCATTGTATGATTCTAAATGATAAGTTTAGTAGAACTATAATTTTAAGTGATTATTAAAAATTTGGAAATATACCCACCCTCCGACTTTACAACAAACTACGGTATACCCAAACTACTACTTGTTTTATACAAAAATAAAAAATCCGCTCCACCAGACTTTTAACAAAACTGCACGAAGACAGGTATTATTGTTTTATTCACAAAAAATGTTAGTTAATAAATGATTTTTATAAAATTAGTAAAATTAAAAAAACAAAGATACTGTTTAATGAAAGACAATGATATTTACTTCTTTGATAACACTGTTTGTTTTTTATTAACTATTCTAGTCAAAAACAATAATACCCTATTCCGCATATATATACATATATGTATAATACCTCACTAATACCTAGAGAGTCCGAGGATATTTGAATTTGTTGTTAGCATCGCCCGCTAAAAATTAATAAAAATATAAAATTAAGCATCAGAAAAACCCTCACAAAACATAATACACGGTGAACACCATATGTGAACACAGACATATGTAAAACGTCAATTTATGTGTGTCAAAGTCAGATTCACTGTCAAAAATCAAATTCACTGTCAAAAGTCAGATTCTACCAACGACGTTGCCAAGTTGCAATAATAATTTATTTATTTTGAAAGTAAAAAATTATGTCATTTTTAATTTGACAGGTGATTATTTAAGTTGACTGGCGATTATGGCTGGCGATTATCATGTTATTGATATGATTATCATGTTATCATGGCGGTTAACATTTGCTGTCCTCCATTCGCGAACTTCGAGTTCCGGGCTTTTACGCCCTGGGGCTACTCGAGAACGGTTCCGAAAGGAGCGGTGCGCTATAGCCTGGTGCCTCCATCAGGGTTCGGAAGTAGTTAATTAATTAAGACGTAATTTACCTGATTAACTACGTGTAGTTTTTCTTCAAAAACTACTTCTTTTCCCGTTCATTAACTACATGAAAACTACGTTAATAAATTATGTATTGATATTATGAATAATTTTCATTTGTATGAGGGGTATTAGAGATAATATGATGTAAATATTATATGGTAAAGGTGTGGATCCGGTGGCTGACCTTGAAGCCCATATTTGCTGCTTTTGATCAACGATACTACGCAAGCGCACATCGTCGAGGTTGCCAAATTGCAGTTTATTTTCGAATTATTTGCAGTTGAAAATTTTTTTTTGAGTTGATCAATAATAATACAAATTCTATAATTAATTTTATAATTTCAGATTTATCTTGATATCCAAAATTAAGGAATGATATATAAAATTGAATATAAAAAATTGTAATAATAATAAAACATTTATTTATATATTTACATTAGAATTAAAAATTATCATTTACTGATTTTTTCTTAATGGTTTTAAACTTATGAGAATTATTTTATTTCTAGTTATTTACAAACAACAATAGTTTTGATTATATATACTACGTACTACCATGACGAGTCTTATAGAACAATACACGTCAATGGGAGATAGAGGTAACATTTTACCTATAATGTTACTAATATAATATACTTTGATTATAATGTTGGTATCATAATTTCTTAAAAATATCAAGTTAGTGGATTAATAGCAATTTTAGACACATATTTTATCGAAGAGTTGTGGTGATAAGTCTAAAATAAGCTTTATGTTTTATCTTTTTCTCTTTAGAAGGGAGATGGTTTGTGTCGTAGAATACTTTACAGTATTTAATATCGTATACTTTGATATTCTTTTCTTAATTTACTGTAATTTCTTGTTTCCTATAATGCCAAATCTTGACAATATGGTGAAGGTTAAGTTTTGATCTTATTAGTTTTATACCTGTGTTTATACAAGACCAAATTAAGACAGTTTGTGATTTATATTAAGATCTTTCTTATATTTGTTATGTCTTAATCTTAATACTATATTATGCTTTGTCTGGAAAATAAATGTTAAAATATCTTAATTTTGCATATCCTATTCCATCCTTCCATTAGGAAAAAAATGGTTTATAAATCATATATCACATATGCTAAGAAAATCACATAAATTAGGTGTAAGAATAGAGAAATCTTAAGGTAGCAGAAAAATTAATGCAATATATGTATAAGCAGATTAAACAAGGTAACTGTTAATGTTGCTGAAGCTGATTCTACCATTTTAATTACGGAGGCTAAAAGGCCTTTTAAATTAAGGCCTCCGTAGTAGATGGAATTTTAAAAAAAAATCTATTATGAACATGAGATGAGCTACAGCATTTAAAAATTAAAAAAAAGAAAAAACTTGGACACCCGAATTTTTAATAAAGCACTTTTTAAACGTAGCATAATAATCTAGATAGGAATCTAGAGTTTTATTTCTATATAATTTTATTGACTATGAAAATACATAATAAGCGTTCACATGTTGTGCGAAATATTAAAATAATATACCGCGTACTATGATTGAAAAAAAAAATAGCGTCAGCAATGACTATGAAATTAAGATCGCTGTCATTTTATGGAAATGTCCTAAATCGTCATTTCCCAGCCAACTGGACGCCGTTTTTTCGATCATACGGTATATATTGACAAAAAAACACTGAAAAGCACATATTTGTTTTCTACTGAAAATAATTCCAAAATAACTCGCAATCTGGCAACATCGAAGATGTGCGCATGCGTAGTGTCTGTGACTATATGCAGCAAAAACTCGTTTCAAGGTCAGCCACCGGATCCACACCATTACCTCAACTTATTATAACCTTACCTCAAACCTATGATATTTGAAAGTTACATACATAGGTTACATAAACTACACCCTCTACATAAACTACATTAACTACATGTAATGTAGTTTATGTAGTTTTTAAAAGTAACATGTAGTTTCCGAACCCTGGCCTCCATATGGCGCGGAACAGTTCTGGAACTTACAGTTCTGGAACTTTATGACTCAGGGTGCATCCACACTATCCTAAAAACGGCGTATCGGCGTAACGGCGTAACGACCTTGAATAGATTTCCAGTAATTCTATTGGCTGAAAAATTCATCTGTTAGAAATTTTATCTGTCAAATTCATCTGTCAAAAATTTCAGCCAATAGAATTACTGGAAATCGATTCAAGGTCGTTACGCCGTTACGCTGATACGCCGTTTTTAGGATAGTGTGGATGCACCCTCAATTGAATGGAATGAGAGTATCGCCAGAGTACCTAAACCTTTGACCTAAACCGACGAGTAGCGACAGTCCCGTTTTCAATTTTCTTTGCGGCTGCGCGAAATAAGTAGGTTATCTGTCATACGAAGAAGCGAAGTTGCCACTGTTGCCATTTATCAAATATCTCTATATACTTTATTTCAAGTATACCTCAGGCAACGAATCGTTTTTTTAATTATTTATTAGCAGTAAGATATTTTATACATTCAAATTTAGAAATAAGGATAAAACAAAGGTATGTATAAAACTTTATAATTAATTCCACTTCAAATTGTGAGCAGTGTATACCATGTTTATAGAACCACTTCATAAGTTGAGCAGTTAAATACGTAGTCTATCTGTCAAACACGTCAAAAGAGAGAGAAAGAAAATTTGGTCCCATCCTTGGTCCCACCCATAGACAAACTAACAAAAGCAAGACTTTTCAAAAGATTGAGGAAGTCGAATTATTGTTTTTGCGCTGGCCAGTTGAGTCAGAAATCATCGCGCAGTCGCACTCGTCAAACCTAACCTAAATAAAACGAAAAACGTTTTTGCCTTGAACGAACTGTTGAATTCCTGATTTTGCGTTTTGTTTGGTTATTACTATTATTTTATTAGCGTACAAAACGAAAACAAATAATTTAATACATTTTACATTTATGAAGAACATAATAATTACTGTGATTATACATATTATTGTGATTACATCGCTAACGTAGACAAAACGAAGGTCCTACAAATTGACTGTAAGTTATAAGAATCTCTATCTTTTTAATCTTTTTATGATTTGAATTTTCGTGCTTTATATTTTATAATAGACTCGAAATGTTAATATTTTTGCAAATTCTTGTGAAAATGTGAAGTTTATGTTTTTGTTTTATATTTGAAAAAGTTGTATATTTTTAAGATGTTTCTTGTTGTTCCTATTATTAATATTATAACATACATAATTATTTTTTTGTACCTTTTGAAGAATGCTTTTATTTCGTTTACCATAACTGTTGTTTTTTTATCATCTTTTTGTTATTTTAATAAGAGGAATACGTTTTCGTTTATTTAACTTTTGTTTTTATATCTGTTATGTCCAGAAATTATTGTTTATTTTACCGATGGAAATAAATTTATTTGATTTTAATAAACGCTTTTTAATTAAACATCCTTGTCTAAAAGGCTACTACAAAATACACAATCCACAGAATATACTAACGAAAAAGAAGCCCAAGTTCCTTGTAATAAATCGGTTCCATTTTCGTAGCGCCATCTCTCGACAAAGCTGACATTTACAGGTTAGCCAAAGGCGTGCGGGGCCGGGGGGAATTGTAAAATACACTTTTTTATTTTAATTATTTTTATTCGTTATTTGCAATTTTATTTTTAAAACATATTATCTGAAACAATCACAGGTAACATTTGGGCTCTGCGGTGGAACACTAAATTCACCTATTTTATTAATAAATACATACCTAGACTTCAATATTAGTGTATATAAGTTATTATAATTTGTTTCTGTACCAAATAAACAATATTTTGTTTAAAAAATATATTTAATATGGTCATAATTATCAAATAAACACATAATAAACATGAACGGCCTTCAAATATTTCAACTGTCGCCGATTCTGACACAGAAATTATGGTGCAATGTTGCCGGTTTTGTTTTTAATTTATACTACCTTTTTCCTAACGATTTTATTAAACCCTAGTAATATTATTTTTTTGTTATCATTTAATTTATTTATAACTATAATATGTTAATAACATATTTAATAAATATTATTGAAGAAGGAAAAGTTGGGTTGCCTATAATATTTAGATAAAGAATAATAGATAATTCATTGTAAAAAATCTATTGGTATTGAGTTGTTTACCAATTAAAGAGTTGGGGTATTTGAAGATATTTTTAATTAGAGAGCTGGTACATTTGAATCTCTAGAAATATATACCGTATGATCGAAAAAACGGCGTCAGCGATGGCTATGAAATGAAGATCGCTGTCATTTTATATATAAATTTATATGGGAAATGTCATCGATCGTCATTTCCCAGCCAACTGGACGACGGCGCCGTTTTTCGATCATAGGGTAGTATTATAATATAAATTGGAAAACAATATTTGTAATGTAAAAAAAAGATCATTCGCCATTTTGTCAAGTAATGGCTTAAATATATCCTTTTGACGTATTATTAAACCGTTATTTTTAATTATAATAAGCAATAATAAAACCATTAGCAGTTAATTAAATTTCTATATATACAGGATGGTCCAAACTATAGTCCGGAAACGTCGGCAGCATATTCTGCAGATAAAACTAAGTAAAAAAGTTCGTATAAATGTATAGTATGTCCTAAGAAGCTTACTTTCGGGAGTTC